GAAGCCTCTTCGACTTTACGCGTGCCCAGCACGCATAAGGCCTCGCTCACTCCTTTATCATTTTTTGGCCTCCACGCCTTCGCTGTATCGAGTTACAAACTTGTGTGGAAAGTACCACTGCTAGAACGCTCTGCGCCCGCCGTCGGGTCTTCTTTATTTCACTTGTACGCCCTCTACCATATTTGCTCATTTTTTCTCGGCGTGTGGGCTGTTATACTGACCTGATATGGATGCAGTAACCATTTCAGCCCATTTCTTTTCTGCCAAATTTGTAACGGATGCGACGAGCAAGGGGGTGAGGTCCTGAAATGTTTTCTTGATGATACTTCTCAACGCGTGGCTTCGCGTGGCGGAGGAGCTCGTGGAATCGATCCCGGTATGGGAGTAGTGGAGCTAAAAACCGCCTTCATCCTGAGGCAATGCTCTAAACCGTTCGGAACGTGTAATGCCTCTGGTTTTCTTATGTTGTCTTCTTCTCATGTAATTTGTGCCTTGCTTTTAGTCGTGTTGTTCCCTCAGATTAATGCTATTCTGGTATTTTGAATGGAAGTTATTACATTTCACGAGGTATTACACTGAGCGCCATGTAAGATATCCCCTAAACTCAGCATGGTGAGCTCTGTGAAACTTCGCTGAACTCCTGGCGATGTTGAAATAAGTCTGGAAGATCGGAGCCATTCATGATTACCCGACCAACCTTAACTGCCCCACTGGACTTCAAGATCTCAGCAGGGGAGGATCCAATGTCGACGTATCCGTTTGGAACGAGACCTACACTGCTAGACGTGTTTCCATACGGTGATCCCAAGTCTGCTTTCCAAATTTGCTGAGCTTTTTTTCTGAATGCAATTATGAGGTGATTTTAGGTAAGGCTTGATGCAAAGAGCTCATGTTACATGTATGCAGCGGTGGCTTTGATAATGGTGGCACTTCATTTGTGAGGGACCAATGTTCTGGTTCTGTGAGGGGCGAAAAATTTGTATTCGGTTGAATTTTCTCCTTGCATTCTATGGATTACTTTTGTGTTGATTTTAATGCGTTCTACGACTTTTTGGTGGCTGTAGTTGCAACTTTCTCACCCGAAACATGCAATCGCTTCAATTTTTTGCATATTTGTGCATGCTATACTCGTAATAGGATGACCCTTATGACTTCTCGAACATATGTGAAGCACGAAATGTTAGGAAACAAAACATCTCTCACAATTGCAACGAATAATCAAAAGATTTCTTCACATCGTATTGTTTTACAATCACTTACCGATTCAGAACGAAATCGGAAATGTGTAGGCGTCTCAAAATACCCTGACGAGTGTTTGCTTAGCCGGCGACGTGTCATGAATTAAAGGGAAAGTCTCTCAATCTAACAGCATAAAACTAAAAATACAGGTAGGTTGGTGGTAGGTAGTAAGTCACACCAGAAGTGTTTAAGCATAGGTTGAGACAGTGAGCTATTACTATGAGGTGATGATCATACTTTTGAACGGCAGCAAGAAATGACCAATGTTCGGCTGGTTGCATGTTTTAGGTGGGAAAGTTGTTATCACGGCCACCAAAAAATCGTAGAACGCGGTAAAATTAACATAAAAGTAATCCATAAACTAAAAGGAAAAATTCAACCAAGTGCAAAATTTTCGCCCCTAACAAAACCCGAACCCTTGTCTCGTCTCGTACATAAAGAGTCACCCTTACCACTACTTCAAGGAGGACGGTACATTCGTACTATTCGAGCTGCCCGCGACAAATTGCGCGGCGAAATTCGTGGCAATTCGAACACTCTGGTGCCTATTATTGGGGCACAAACTTGAAGTAGAGCAGATCATTAGGATCAGCTGTCCTACTAGCTCTACTCTGCTTCGAATTTGGGCCCCAATAATGGGGGCTGAAGTCATCAAAATCGCTATGAATTTCGCCGCGCAATTTGCTGCGCGCAGCTCGAATCACACGAATGTACGAACACCTCTGCTTCAAGCCACCACTGGAGAAGCTCGTGCATCCGTGTATTAATTTAAGCTCTCTATGTTAAGTCTCACCTAGAGTCACCTCAAAACTCCATTCAGAGAAACTTTCGGCAAATTCGGAAAGCATATTCGAGATAAGCACACGAAAACACGTCCAGCGGTGTGAGGCCACTTCAACTTGGGATCCTTCCCTGGTCAGATTCATCACGTTATCATAAGCTGGGCCACCTACCGTAGATCGCCCCGGTCCTCGAGACCACATAGAAGCCGGCAGTGGGGCACTGAGTTCGCACACTCCTTTGGTGGCGCTCGCTTTTCCCCATGGTCCATCCTTACTATAATATTTATAAACGCTCGCGTCTGTCTGTTTCTCTGTCCGTCTGTCTGCATGCCTACTTTTCTGTCTGTTTTTTTTGTACGAAAATTCGATGTTAACGGAAGAAGCACCTGTAGAGGTCAAGTCAAAATTGGTATGGGTTGGGCATAGGACAAAAGCAATAGAGCACATGTGCGCTCAGCTGAGTTCCTCACACAGGAGGCGGGCGGTTTTAGGCAGAATGTCTGAATTAGGTTTCATAGCAGCCCAGACGCCGGAAAAATGTGCGAAGATGAGCGATGGTCAACAAGTGAACTGAAGGAGACTCACAGGCGATGGGCGAATCTATAACCCAGACATAGGATAATGACTCTATTGACAATGACAACGCGTGCACGAAGCCCGAAAAAAATAAAGAAGTGAGCAAGGCCTTATACATGTTGGGCATATGTAAACATGTCTAAACTTCAACCGCAATGGGCGGAGCGTGTATTCAAATGTCAGGCCGTTTTTAAAAAAGTTAACAACTCGTTCAAAAAAGTTGCAGGACACGGGAAAAGAGTAGTTGGAGGTAATGGAAGGAATGAGGCCAGACTCTGAAGTGGGCGGAGCTCACACTGGGCAGGCCGGGTTGAAACCAAAATTTATATTTTTGCTCGAAAACGTTCCTGGAAGCGGGAAATGAGTGGTCGAAGGTGATGGTATAAATATGCTCAAATCCCTGGAAATGGCGGAGTTTGCACCAAAGTGGCGCAGTTAGGACCGAAAACTCATAACTCTGTTTGAGAACGGTTTGGGATTAGGAGAAAATGTTTAGGGGCTGATAAAAGTGAAATGCCCTTAAGGCGGTCCCAATTTCCGAATCTAGGGAGAACAATATTATTCTTATACAACAGATATTCCTCTGAATTACTGCATCGCAGCTGAACGGTCGTGGATATACAATGTTAGCGTGCAAAGCATAATTGGTAGTGTATAAGTGCTAACTATTTTCCCCTGTTTGTACATATGCCATTCCGTGTGTCGGTCCGCAAAAAGTCACGTAAGAGCGACGAGGGGCTGCTTTCATAGTCCACGACCAGTCGCGCGAACTGGTCATTTTGTAACGTCACAGAGTGCGGGTCAGGAATCCCTCGTTTTCTCGGTTTCTTTCAATCATAAAGTCATGAAACCTCTGGGGAAAAGGGGAGTGAGGGTGGGGAAGCTTCTGCGTTGGCATCGTTGGCATCAGGCATCGTCAAGCACTATGCTGACTGTTTTCCATCTTGTTACATGTCCAAATTCAAGTGAAATTTTGAAAGTGTTCACGAACGGTAACACACTTAGAAGAACTCTACTCTCCTCAGCACTTCTTCTGAATGCTTGATTTCGCCAAATGAAACTCGAGCGGACGTTGAGGTCGAAGCCGTGTACGTGTGCTACGTTACGAGGTGTAGAGCAGAAAGAGTGTTCTATGTTCTTCCTCAGTTGAGGAATGGTTGTGGACGTGCTATGATTGTCTTAGCGTGCCTAACCCAACTAAGTGTCATATGATGTGTAAGGTGGACTGGGTCTTTTTAGCAGTGCAGCTCCTCGGAATAGGCTTCGGCGTTGCGCAGCTTGTAGCAAGCTACCGAACCTTGTGATCAACTTCTGACTAATTGTCTAACCAGAGGTGCTGCACACTCAAAAGCGAACAACTTTGACCGAGTGAAATGACTTGAATGCCCTTGGTTTCTGACATATCTTTATTGATCAAGTAAAGTATGCACTTCATGTGTTTTTTTTTACTTGATCCATTAGGAGAAACATTTGGCTTCTGTACTGCTCATACAGTACACCATCAGTGGATTGAACAGTTTGTATTCTGCTGTGTTAGTTCACATGTTTTTGAGTGGATTAATACTAACACAGCATTGAACAGTTGTATAGCCTCTTAACTGCAGTGTAATTCTCATATATGCCTTCAAATGCAGAAGTTTTTTCATCAATGACGTCGACGTTGACTTCTGAAATGGTGACGTATTGTTTTGAAAGTGTTACCTTGGTCAGTCTAGCTTGAATTCGTTCTGAAAGAGCGTTTTAGGCATGAGAGATTTGTTTTCAATCACGTTGTTTTTGAAAGGATGCAGCGATTCCGGGACAGCACGGATTTGAGTTGTGTAGTTGAATCTCATATTAACACTCCGCCGTCGCTCATAAGATGGCTTCCCAAAATTAAATGATACATCCTTTTCTTCAAAAAATCTGCAATAAACGCTTGACCCCGCCAGACTGCCATGATCAGTACGAACCCAAAAGAAGGAGTGAATTACGGGAAAGAAAACATTCCAATGTACAATTGTATATTAATCGCAATGACCAGATTGTGCATTATCAAATTAGAATAGACGAGGAATGTGAAGGCTCATCATGAAATAATAGTGTGACTTTTAATTTTTTTTCAAAGTGAGGTGGGAACGAAACACAATCATCACAGCTATTCTATTACAACTTCTATTATTGAACTAATGTCACTTTTGCATTTACTAATATCGATGCTATCATTGTCACCTCGAATAATGTAATAGATGCTATCACTAATATTATTAAGCACACTATAATGACTATAGCATCTACCAAAAAGGTGATTCCTTAAATTTACAGCTAACAATAAGCATGCACGATAAAGGAAAGTGGAAGATCATCAATCTGAGCAGTGTGTATGAAGGTAGTGAACGTTTTGCTGACTAGCGATCGAATCCCTCAATTTTGTGAGCATTCATTTGCAAATGGTGCTATGTCCATGCTATCCATCTCATCATTAGCAATCTTCTGAATTTAAAAAAATGAGCCCAGTTTTCGGGTAGAAATTCGTGCCCTTCTTCCCTCAACTTCGTGTGCCATGTTGGACCCCAGTTGATAAGACGTTTGTTGAGATCAGTAATAAGAGAATGTTGACTCACTCGTTTCAAGAATGACACCAGTTCAGAGTTGTCTTCATCGAAAAATCTATCGACGTTCCTCACAAGTAGAGCGGCTTCTCGACATGGACCTTAATCCAATCTGTTATATGTGCATGTAGGTCCAGCATAGATAGAGAAAAAGGGAGGCGTACCGTTTCCATTTGTTACGACCATGTAATCATATTCAAATAGGCCGGAATACTTNAGCACACACACTAAAAATATTAACTCGAAACATGAATAACTTCAAAGACACAGGTCGAGTTAAAAATGGTTTCTGACATTTTTCCTAAGATGGACTTGCGACCCCCAAGGATAGCCTAAGGGACACTGTCGGTTCGAAAAACAGTCAAGATCGGGCGTAATTAAAGCCTCCCGAAACCGGCTTAGCCCGAGTTCACACCCAAGGCTGACGATGTCTAACGTCGTAAACGCTGTAGAGGTCGCACCATTCGCACCGGAACCCTCTCCTTGCACGCAGGCAGCGTATTACGGTCAGCAGTATGCAATGGTGCGCGCGTTTGAACAGTTCGTCCGAATACCCCTTCCATGCAGCTTTTTTCTTACATTCTCGCCCAACCCCTCATTTTGATTATTTTCTTTCTATTTCCCTAAATACGCCGATTTTGTTGTTTTCTTCTCGTGATTTCTTCTCCACTTTTGCAGTATTTCGGAATATCGCTTCCATAGTTCGTGCTAATTTAGATAACCCAAAATTATTGTGAAGTGGATTCTACACTATCTTAGACATTGCTGAGTTCAAAAAAGTTGAAAACCGAATATTTACAGAACGCATCGTGAAGCTTAGTTTCTCTGACTGCAAATATCGCAGGCGAAAATTTTTCCAATCCACACTGTCTGTTGTAGACGTTTGCAAAGAATGATGTTTCGCGATTATTCAAATCCTTACTTGGTACTGAGAAAATTTCGTTTGAAGAGTCCCGCAACTGTAACCGAACCGATTTATGATCCATAGAAAGGGCGCTACCAATAAACTGAAAAAAATGCACATACACTACCGTTCAAAAAGAAATCACCTCGAACCTTTTTCGCCATTACTCATCTCGAACTCAATAATTTTGACTGATTTTTTGATATGTTGTCAACAGTGGCGACTTTTAACGTCTCCATCACAGAACTCACAAAACTCCACTTTATTCCGTTCAAAAGGCCGCTTTTCACATTTTTTTTCTGAACAGGACAAAATAACATCGGTTTCAATAATTTGAAATAAGTCACTTGACTTGGACGCTATCATCATGAGATCAAAACCTAATTAACTACTAGTCTAATACTTTGTAGTGAAGCCGTTGGCATCGATGACGGCTTGGCATCTGCGGGGCATTAACTCGACCAAGATGTCGATCAGGCACTCATCGATTTCCTTCTATTCTTCTTCAAATAGGCCAAACTTCTGAGCAGCATTGAAACATACCTAGAGAACATGCCCCTTTCGCACGTTTTTTGAAAAAAAAATCACCTACTTGGCCGGAAGTGAGCTACCGCCAATTCTGCATCGCAGGAAAGTCGGTAATGTCTGAAAAGTGTGCTGAAAAGAAAAGAAAAGTCAAAAAATCAGGTGGAAAGATTAAGTTTCAGATGAGTTATGGCAGGAAAGGTTCAAGGGTATTTCTTTTTGAACGGTACTGTATGTATAGCTTTTTTACATTGGAGTCAGCATAATTAATAGAACTCTATGGCTACAAACATGAGTGTATGGCAGACGCTATGAATTCGTATCAGAAGCATATCTGAGAACAATTCACGAACGATACCCGATAAAGTTTACGTGAACCACTTGTACGGAATTCCCATGATATTCGTGCATCTTGCGCAACTTCAGAGATTTTCGGCGTCAGCACTAAACGAGATCAATAATCATATTTTTTAAACTGCTATAGCGTAACGCAGACACCACTCCCGGAAACATGCTGTCATTTACACTGCGGGAGGTAGTTCTATAGAGATCGGCTCCCAGCACCTAACGATATGTATATGTGTGCGATCATAAGAATCCACCCTCTCGATTTTGATACATTTTTGCTGCTTGCGGCCTCGTAACTCAAGCCACCTAGGATAGACTTTCTACACGAGAAACCCAACACAACTTTCCTTCATTGGTTCTAGGAGTGGTAGCCATCCCACTCAATCATGCGTTTCACCTGTAGATTCGATTGGCTGGTGTTAGACTCGGAAAGGTCAAAACACTGAATTGTGCACAGGCTGTTTCACACGAGTAATTTTCAAATTTGAATATATATCCAGAGAAAACTATAGTTCTTATGAGAAGTTGAATATGTCGCCAATTAAGAGATGAAGATTGATTCCAGAGCGGGCGGGTGCACACTTATATTGAAGCTAGCAAACCAACAGAACGGACTAACTGGTCATTCTGCTGCAACTAAGTTCAGTCCTTGGCTCCTTTGGCAGCATCTTTTTCAGTTTCGCTCGCAGTTTCTCAATGAGTGCTTTCGATGCTAAAGCCATTGACCATTTCCCTTTCATTTTTTGGAGGGAGATCCTCTCACACTGGCATGATGATGTAAACTCGTCGCTGTCTTCTCTGAAACCTCAAGTTCGTTTAAAAAAGAAATTAATACTTTTATTGAACAACATATTAATACTATTACAGATTAATTTTCAAGCTTCAACGAATTTCTGTACACCGCAATTCGGCGGTTGATAGCAAATTGCTTCTATGTGCAGAATGCCCAGTCTCGATATAATTTGGTTAGGGCGGCGGACCGTGACGCTTGCAAAAGCAAAGGTTGCTTTCATAGTCCGCCCGCCGGCC